AGGAGGAGGAGGAGGCGGAGGAGGAGGAGGAGGAGGAGGAGGAGGAGGAGGAGGAGGAGGAGGAGTGAGGAGGAGGAGGGGGTCGAGGTGGAGGGGGAGGGGGAGGAGGAGGAGGAGGAGGAGGTGGAGGAGGAGGAGGAGGAGGAGGGAGGAGAGGAGGGGAGGAGGAGGAGGAGGGGAGGAGGAGGAGGAGGAGGAGGAGGAGGGGGAGGGGGAGGGGGAGGAGGACTGGGATTTTTTCTCGCAAGAGGCTTAGAATTCGAGGAATAATAATCGGCATTAACGTTTTTTTTGGCGCTCGGCGCGGAACTCTGGGATAAGAGTGTTCATGCCGCTTTTCCTTCTTCTAGGAAGTCCCTCGGCCTTCGGAAAAGGGTTTCTCGAAAACACATGAGCCACGCCATCTTCTGAGAGGGCCTCCTCGTCCTCTCGGCCTGAGCGAGAAGGGTCGGATGGGGAGAGGGGCGGTTACGATCCCTGGTGCGAACCGCTGCTTTCCGCCCCGCCGCCAGGGCCGCTCTTCGATACAGGGGCGCCGCCCGGCGCCTGGGCGGCGCCAGGATAACCAGTTACGTGGGCCACTTGTTTCATCAATATCGTTTAACCGAGCCACATCCCCATCTTCATCCCCTTCGACCCCCCACCGAACTACCACCACCCCAATTGGGGACACCCCTCGAAACCCGAAGGGGACGGCCTATATCCCAATCCAGGAGGGAAATCGGCCAGTTGGGCCCAGGCCATGCCGCTGGGGATGGGGGTCGGCTGAACGATACTCATCTAACCCGTGCCTTTGCTATCCTACCCTGTCGTGCCCCCCGTTTCTCGCTTTCCTCCCCCCACTCGTGCGCCGCCGATCCTCCTCCTCCTCCTTTTGCACGAGGCCATGAGGAGGAGGAGGAGGAGGAGGAGGAGGAGGAGGAGGAAGAGGAGGAGGAGGAGGAGGAGGAAGAGGAGGAGGAGGAGGAGGAGGAGGAGGAGGACGGGGAGGAGGAGGAGGAGGAGGAGGAGGAGGAAGAGTGGGAGAAGGAGGAGGAATAGGAGGAGGAATTATGGAAATGATGATAATAATAAGAGTATTATTAATAATGGTCCTAGTACTAGTAATATTAGTAATCATAGTAATGCCAATATTAATACTAGTAATACTAATGCTAATCAAACTAATACTAGTAATACTAATGGTAATAATAATACTAATAATCATGATAAGTAGAAGAAAAATGCTACTATTATTATTATGAATACGAATAATACCAACGATGTCAACATTACTAATGCTAATAGGAATAAGAATAATACTACGAATGATAACACAAATGGTAATAACACATACCAATAATATTATTACTAAAAATAAGACTAATGCTACCAATGCTAATAATACGAATAATGTTAATATTCATAGTCGTACGAATATTAATAATTTTAATAATACTGGTATTAATTATAAAAATATTAAGTTTATGACGACAACTAAAAACAATACTGATGATGCTACTAATAATAATGATGATGATACTGATAAGAATAGTACAACTAATATCAATGCTGATACTAAGACTACTACTACTATTACTACTACTACTACTACTACTACTAAAATTTATACAACTGATAATAATGATACTACTACCAGTAATAATGGTACTACTAATATCAATAATAATATTAAGAATAATATATGGTACGAATACTACTAGTACTATTTGATAGTAGCAGTACTAATAATAGTAGTGCGCGTAATAGTAATAATAATAACCATAATAATGCTAATAATAATAATATTAATAATATTAAAACTAATGGTATTAATAATACCACGGCTACTGATACTAATACTAATACTACGACTACTAATAATACCAATACTACAAATATCAACACTAATAATACTATTAATAATACTGATGATAACGATCATAATGATACCGATAATAATATTAATAGTATTAGTATACTCATAATAATTCTACTACGAACACTAATGGTAACAATGCTACGAATACTATTCGTACTAATAATACGAAAACTTTAAATACTTACTGCTACTAAGAATGATAATAAGAAGAGGAGGAGGTGGAGGAGGAGGGGGAGGGGAGGGGGAGGAGGGGAAGAGAGGAGGGGGAAGGAGGACAAGAAAAGGAGGGAGGGAAAGGGAGGAGGAGCAGAAGGAAAAGGAAGGAGGAGGGAGGAGGAGGAGGAGGAGGTGGAGGAGGAGGAGAGGAGGAGGAGGAGGAGGAGGCGGAGTGAGGTAGGAGGAGGAGGAGGAGGAGGAGGAGGAGGATGAGGAGGAGGAGGAGAGGAGGAGGAGGGGAGGAGAGGAGGAGGAGGGGGAGGGGGAGGGGGGAGGGGAGGGGGAGGGGGAGGGGGAGGGGAGGGGGGAGGGGGAGGAGGAGGAGGAGGAGGAGGAGGAGGAGGAGGAGGAGGAGGCGGAGGAGGAGGAGGAGGAGGAGGAGGAGGAGGAGGAGGAGGCGGAGGAGGAGGGGAGGAGGAGAGGAGGAGGAGGAGGAGGAGGAGGAGGAGGAGGAGGAGGAGGAGGAGGAGGAGGAGGAGGAGGAGGAGGAGGAGGAGCGAGGAGGAGGAGGAGGAGGAGGGGAGGAGGAGGAGGAGGAGGAGGAGGAGGAGGAGGAGGAGGAGGAGGAGGAGGAGGAGGAGGAGGAGGAGGAGGGGAGGAGGAGAGGAGGAGGAGGAGGAGGAGGAGGAGGAGGAGGAGGAGGAGGAGGAGGAGGAGGAGGAGGAGGAGGAGGAGGAGGAGGAGGAGGAGGAGGAGGGCGGAGGAGGAGGGAGGAGGAGGAGGAGGAGGAGGAGGAGGAGGAGGGGGAGGGGGAGGGGGAGGAGGAGGAGGAGGAGGAGCAAGGAAAGGGAAGGAGGAGGAGGAGGGAGGAGGAGGAGGAGGAGGAGGAGGAGGGGAGGAGGAGGAGGAGGGGGAGGGGGAGGGGGAGAGAGGAGGAGGAGGAGGAGGAGGAGGAGGAGGAGGAGGAGGAGGAGGAGGAGGAAACGGGGGCTGGCCGCTCGGCGACGGCCCCCCCGCGCGGGCTGCCCGCGCCTCGGGGGCGCCACGGGAGCGCCCGCGCGGCGTGTCTCGCGGGCGGCCTGCGCGAACTCCGCGGAGTCGCCGCGTACGGTCGGACCGAGGTGTAAAACCGAGGACCGAGGTCGGCTCGGGGAGGGTACCCTGATGTGCTTGTTGCGTGGCATCCTCGGGGGACCTCCCCCGTCCCGCAAACTGGTGCCTCTTCTCGTGCCCAGCGCGGGCTCGGTGCGGAATCGACGCGGACTCGGCGTGGCTTCGACGATTCGACGCGGACTCGACACGGATCCGACGAGTCCGACGCGGATTCGACACGGATGCGACGCGGATAGGGCCGCGATGGGACAGACGAGGTCCCCCGAGGATGCAACCCAATGCTTGCCGTATGTTCTTGTGCGTCCTTGGGGAGGGCACCCTCGATTGTTCCGCAGTTTAGCTGGCGGAGGGCCTCGTGTGCTTGAAGGATGTTCGCCTGTCCCAGATGCGACCGCAACAAACCACCCCAGTTGAGCGACGCAGTAAAACGGGGTCGACCGCGCTGACGTCGGCGCGCAAGCTGCCCGCAGAAGGTCGCGCGTAAGCTCCCTCGTCTCCAGCGTGGCGTGTCGCGCTGGCGGCCCGCGGAAGCCGCGGCGTGAGGTTGCTCTGTCGCCTCGGGTAAGACCCTTGCTCCATTGGCTCCTGTGCTTTGGGTCTCCTCGCCCCTTCCTCCTCCTTCCCCCCTCTCTGCCCGAGTCCGGTCTAGATTGCAGGCTTTTCCACCTTCACTGCCCAGTCCCGTGCACGACGCTTGGCGGCCATTTCGGCCCTACTCGCAGGACAGCGTTCAACTTGCGAGTTGCGCTTGCGCGTAGTTGCTTCAGTATGGCAATCGACCGTTAATCAACTATTGACATCGGTTCGCCGAAAAACAGCAATTTTACCAAACCACCCCAACCCAACCCGAAGGTCCCAGACAGCCCTCCAATCTTTGGGTTGGGGGGTGTACGGGTTCCCTCTTGTTTCCTCGCTGTTCTGGGTGCCCCCCCACCAGAACTTGACGATCCCAACGGATACTTCGGGTTGGGTTTTTGGGTGGTTCTGTAGGTCGTTACGGAAGGCATCTGTGCACCACCGCCGAGCCAGGCCATGGTTCGAAGAAGAGACAACGGCATACAGTGCCGTTTTTGATACATGCTCCGCGAGAGGATCATGTATAAGAAATGCAGGGATTTAGTATTACAAGCAACGATGAGTTCATGCATACATTTATTCATACATTAATCATGTATTCAAATCCAATGTTTTAAAACATCCTATGTATGAAACATTGCCCTGTGCACATAAATTTCCGGTGCTCCTCGCGGGGGCCCCCTTGGCGGCGCCTCTGGCGCCGCCCCTGGCGCGCTCCGCGCGCCAGGGAGGGGGTGCAGCGCAGATGAAATATGCCTGCGCGGACCTCCGAAAGTTTGTGCTTACAGCGGAGACCAGTGCCAAGAAACACCCTGCTTGCCTCCAGGGTGCCCTGGGGTTCTTGGGCTTCGATGGTTTTGCTTTGGGAGGCGTGACATTCCCACACCAAAAACCGATGGACGTCCTGGGGTCTCCGGGTTGGGCTTCTTGTGGAAGGCTTTTTGTGGACTGGCCTCCGCTGTATGCCGTCTTCTGTTCCTCTGGTGGCTGACCCTGGCCTCAGGACGGCGTGCGGGCCCTCCCGGCCTCGACCAGGACGGCGTACGACAGGGCCCAGGATGACCTCCGCCGAGCGTGGCGGTGGCGTGTAGGTGCTGATGGGCCCATTTTCCAGCACCACCACCATAGGTAGTGGAGGGAGGAGGAGGCGGAGGAGGAGGAGGAGGCGGAGGATGAAGAGGAGTACGTAAGAGGAGGAGTGGGAGGAGGAGGGCGGAGGAGGAGGAGGTCCTCCTCATCCTCCCTTCTCCGCCGCCCTACAGATGGTGGTGGTGGTGGAAAAGTTGCCCATCAGATGCCCCTGCTGGTTAGCCACCGTGTAAAGTCGTTCTGCCTTCTCGCGCAATCTTTCTTTCGGTCAAAATCGGCCACGTGCAGAGGGAGGTATGGGGGAGGGGGCTAGGCTTCTTAGAAGCACCCCTGCCTCTTAGAGGGCGCGGGCCTTGTCTGTAGACGTCTGGCCAGCGCCTTCTGAGAAGCAGCCTTCTTCTAAGAAGCCTTCCCCCTTCCCCCACCCCCCCTGTGCGCTCCGCCAGCAGCAGGCGCTCGCCTGCGCAACCGGCGCCCGGTGCGAGGCAGTGCTGGGAGACGGACGACGCCTGCATGTGGGTGCACGCTCCGTCAGGCGAGTCGTGGTTCGAGTACCGCCTGGTTGCGTACATAGACTTTCCGCTGCGACATTGCTTGGTGCCCGAGCCTCAATCTCGCCCCGGCAGACGTCGAGACCGCCATGAATCAATGGGGCCCTGAGGAGACACTCGTTGTTAGGGTCCCGCGATAGCCTGGGTTACCCTGGCCCGCGCGGCCCCCCCCCCCCTGCCCCCCCGGAGCACCTGACCCTCTCGGCTGCGCAAGTCCGAAGGGGGGTACGCAGTGTTGGTGCGCGCGGGCATGCGCGGGGCTGCCCAGTGCGAAACGATTGCGCTGGCGGCTGACATCTCCGGGGAAAGGGGAGGGGGAGGGGGGGAGGGGGAGGGAACGGGAGGGGAGGGGGAGGGGAAGGGAGGGGAGGGGGGGAGGGGGAGGGAACGGGAGGGGAGGGAGGGGAGGAGGACGAGAAAGGTGTGCTCGCGTCATATCTGACGTCCCACCCCTCCCTCCCATCCCTCATCATGGCGTAGATCTCCTCTCTGTTCGCACAATCGGATGTCGTAGCATGGCGTAGCATTACATGGCATAGTATTAGACGGCACAGTATTTGATGGCATGGCATGGTGTTCAAGATCAACGCGTAGCATGACATAGCATGGCGTGGTGACGTCCCAATGTGGGGGGCTTCTGCGGCCCCAAAACTCAACGAATCCACACCGAAATGTCATCACTTCCGATGTTTTTATCAGGGGGCAATTGTCTAGATTTTGGGGCCTATTTGGAAGGAGCGAAAACCATGCCGTGGCATGGCGCTGGAAACAATAACGCTAGCGCTGCAGCGGGAGCACGATTCGGAACGAGCGGAAGCGCGGAAATGAGGCCAGCGCTGCAGCGGGAGCACGATTCGGAACGAGCGGTAGCCCGAGAATGGGGCCAGCGCTTTAGCGAGAGCATCATATTGAAAAAGGCACCCGAGCGAAAACCCGTTTCCCAGGAATCCTGTGTGTAAGAAGCCAGTACGCGGAGGGGGGCCGAATATTTCCTGGACGCCACCAGGGGAGAGAGGAGAGTAGTATTCATATTGTGTAATTGTGGAGGGAGGGGAGGAGGAGGAGGAGGAGGAGGAGGAGGAGGAGGAGGAGGCTGGATAACCTGGGTAGCGTTGAAGAATAAAACAGTCTCGCGGGCAGTGGGTCCTCGAGGTCTTCGGCCGATCTTCGGGCCCACGAGCCCCACCACGGCCCCCTCAGTTATATCGGGCCGGTGCTGTGAGACGGGGGTTGTTTCGCGTCGGCTGTCGAGTCCGGGTTCGAGTGCCGCCTGGTTGCGCACATCGATTCCCCGCTGCGGCCCTGATTAGTGTTAATTCGGCATGTTCCTCAACATGAGGAATGTTCAAGCATGGTCAACAAGTAGTCTGGGGACCATCTCCGATTATTTTTTGACTTTTTTGTTGTTGATATTTTCTTGTTATTTTTTCAAACTTCGTAAACATTCGCCTGTGGGAGGACATGCCCGACCTAAGACCTAAGATTAGTGCCCCCGCCGCAGCCTCTCGCAGTGAAGAGCGGAGCTCATGTGGTGAGGGTGCCCAGAGGTTTGCCGCAGGATCCGCCTCCTCTCTTGGACCTCCCGGGATGCAGCGTCGGTTCCAGGGATCCTCAAGATGCGGCCGGGTATGGAAAGCTGATTCGGGGGAGTCGGGCGACGAAATCTATACATATCCTCTGCTCCCTGGAGGAGGATCACGAGGAGGAGGAGGCGGAGGAGGAGGATGCGGGCGGAGGAGGAGGGCGCGGAGGAGGAGGAGGAGGAGGAGGAGGAGGAGGAGGAGGAGGAGGAGGAGCAGAGCAGAGCAGTAGTCCGTAGATGGGAGTGATGTAGTCAGCTGGCCTCCGAGGGGCCTCAGGCTTAGCGAAATGAAATGAAAAGGAGGAGGAGGAGGCGGGGCAGCTGGACGTGACACGTAGGCACGTAGGCCCGAATCTCTGGCTGGCTCTGGCGACCTGCCACTCAGAGCTCACAGCGGATCTCCGAGGTCCCCGGAATCCCCTGATCCTCCTCCACCCTCTTAATCTCCTCCTGACAAATGCTTCCCCCTCCTGCCAACTCCCTCCCTCCGTCCCTCCCTCCCTCCCCGTTCCCCGGGGTCGGGTTCAACCAACTCCCGCCTGATCGGCCATAATTCCGGCGTATCCGGGTGAAAAACATGTGCGTGAGTTCGGCTTAACGTCCCCTGAATCGGGTTTGATGGCCCTCAGCTGTTCCCACGAAGATGCGTCCTAACCTCTTGTCCTTATTCTCCTCCTCACTCCTCTTGCATTCTCCTCCATCGGCACTGGTCCTGACTCTGGACGGGCTCGTCCCGATTCTTCGGTCGCGGGTTGGTCCTTCAGCCGAATATCGCGGGGGATTGTCGTCGTCGCCGTCGTCGTCGTCGTCGTCGTTGTCGTCGTCGCTCCTTCCCTCTTCCCACATCCCTCCCTCCCTCGAAATGGGCACGGAAAGAATGGGGACGAAGACCGACAGCAGTTCCTGCCCCTTTAGAGCAGGAGTCGCTGTCGGCGTCGCCGCGGACGCTTTCCGTGCCAGTCAGAACCGTCGGCTGCCCAACGCATGCCGCTGTCGGTATGGGATATCGTATGCTGTTGGACATCGTGCCTCTTTTCCAGAACCAGCTCGGGCGTGCCAATCCTTCCCACTCACCAGGGGTGATGCTCCGAGGGCCCCCGTCTTCCCCATGGGTCAGGAGGCCTCCACGTTGGCCCGGCAAGGGCCCGGTACGGCCAGCAATCTCGCCCCGCGACCCTCGATGACGGGAGGCTCCGTTGCCGAGGCCTCTGCACGAGCGGGACCTGATCATCAAGTATCAGCCCGTCTTCACGGAGCCCCACCGCGAGATCGGACCGCAGGGAAAGCATTATGCGGTGGTGCGGACGCTCAGCAAGATCTTGGCGTTCTACATAGAGATGGGGCTGCGCGCGTCTGCACGTCGAAGTCCCCCCGGCCTGGACGCAGCGGTGTCCCCCAGGCGGCCTCCAAGGGCCTCCAGGCCCGCGAGCACCTCCTCCGTAACGTCCGGCGCCTCGAGAAGAGTCGAGGCGGTCGGTTTGTAGAGCTGTTTGGCCTCTGGAGGCCAGCCTCGGGCGTCGGGGCTCGACCGTTGGGAAAAGGGTGGATTTTTTTTCCTATCACATTTTGAATCTGCAGCGCCCCGCGTCTCCTCATTTTTCTTCTCGTCCTCCGATCGATCCTCCCCCTCCTTTCGTTGCCTCCGCCCATTTCGGCACACCCTCGCACGTTTCGCTGCCTTTTAGGGAGGTCCACCGAGGGGCCCACTTGCAGGGTCTGCATGCTGCCCCGCCGATTTAGGCACTCCTCTCACGCGCTTCGTGGCCCTGTAGGGACTCCCGCATAACAAACTGCCCACTGCGGCACATACGTATATGTACTGTGTATGTGTATGTGTATGTGTATGTATATGATTATGTACATGAAACTGTGTATGTCTATGTCTATGTATATGTGCATGAATATGTATACTAACACATGTATGTGACTGAATGTATGTATATACATATATATATATATATGTATGTACGTATACCTCTGTGTGCGCATATTTTCGTATATGTATAGATACATGTATAGTTTTATGTATATGCGTAATTATATGTATACGTGTATTTATATATGTGTATGCGTGTATGTGTATATATACAAGTGGCACGTGTGTGCCCAGGCTCATACAACAAGCTGAAGGGGCGTTTGAAGCAGGAGTGACATGCAACAGCGAAGTCGCACTCGAGCGCAAGTGGGGTTGCCACACCTTGCGATGTGTGTACCAGGGCCCCCCAGGAAGCCTCAGGAGGCCCGACTTGGATACCAGAAGAGGCTCCAGGAGGCCCCAGGATTGTGAGTGTGTGTGTGTGTGATGTGTGCTTTGTGTGGTGCGTGCTTTTTGTGTGTTGTCGGTGTTGTGTGTGTGTATGTTATGTTTGTCTAGCGTGTGATGTGTTGGGCGTGATTTGTGTCTCTGTGTGTGCATGTAGTTCTGAAGCCCCAGGAGGCCCCAGGAGGCCACAGGCGGCCTCAGCAGGCCCAGGAGAACTCCAGGAGGCTCCGAGGCGGGGTCTGGGGTACCAGAAGGTCCAGAAAGCCCCAGGAGGCCCCAGGAGGTTCCAGGAGGCCCCCAGGAGGCTCCGAGGAGGGGTCTGGGGCTCGATTTTGGGAGGATGTCTCAGGCGAAACCGCCATTCTCTGAGAATCGGAGTCAAAAGCATTGAAATTACCATGTGTTTTTGAAGGTTTTATGATAAAATGTTGGAAATCCTATGTGTTTTTGGACCCTGACGTCACGATCTGCGTGAGGGGTGCCACCGATTTTCAGAATTTCGAGGATGTCCCGAGCGAAACGGCCAGAAAAATCGCGAACGACGGACGCATTAATCGCCTCTGAGCTCTACTCCCTCGGAGAGGTGCGTATGAGAATATATATATATATATATATATATATATATATACATACATATGTGTCGACCAATAGGAACAGGAACTCACAGCTCACCGTAGTTCCCCACAGGAACTCAGCGGCCCGCTTGCTGCCCGCGCACCTCCCCTGCAGCAGGCAGGCGGTCACGACCGCTCCGTCCGCAACAAAAAGCATCACAGTCGAAAGCATAGCTCTCCACTCACGGCTCAAACTCACCCACCTGCCGGCCCCCCTCTTGGAGGCCTCTCGGGCCGTCTGGGAGGCCTCTGGGGGGCCTCTTGGGCCGTCTTGGGCCGTCTTGGACTCTCTTGGGCCGTCTTGGAGGCCGTCTTGGACCATCTTGGGCGGACTTGGAGGCCATCTTGGGCCATCTTCGCGATTTGTTGAGGATGTCCCGAGCGAAACGGCCGTTCAGGGAGGATTTTTCGTGGAGTTTGCGCTCCTGGGCAATCCTCCCGGTACCCTGGCGGGACGGGCCGAAACCCATTGGGGAGAGTTCTTTTGGAAAAAGAACCAAAACCAAAACCGAGAGGGTCCAGCACGCCAGGCACCCCTGCGATGAATCGACAGGGGGCGGCGGATCGAAGACGCCTACGGCGAACCACCGACGCCCCCCTTTTTGGAAGCGCCTATGTGGCCGAACGTTGAGGCCAGACCTGCCAAGCCATCGGACCATGTTCCCCGAATCGGTTTGGAAACCCTTGGGGGAACACGTGGGCATCTTGAAGGTCATCTTGGCCGTCTTGGAGGCCTCTTGGGCGATCTTTCGGCGATCTGTGGGGGCTCTTGGGCCGTCTCGGGCCGTCGGAAGGCCGAAAAGACATGTCAAAATTCGTCAAAAACCTCAGGAACATCCATGTTGTTGGCTCTTGTGGCCTTCCTGGAGGCCCTCTTGGGGGCCTCTTGGGCCGTCTTGGGCCAGCTTCGCGGCAACTTCGGCCATCTTGGTGGGTTCCTGGCACGTCTGACGCCGTCGGGAGCCGTCTTGGGGGCCTTTTTTGGCCAACGGGGGACCCTCTTGGGGCGCTTCGGGGCCGTCTTGGAGGCCATCTTGGGCGTGTTGGAGGCCTCTTGGGCGTCTTGGGGTCTTGGGGCCGTCTTGGGGCCATCTTGGAGGCCACTTGGGCTGTCATGGGGGCCTCTTGGGGGCCTCTTGGGCGATCTTGGGGCCCTCTTGGGCCGTCCTGAGCCGTCGGAATGCCGAGAAGAAGCAAATTCCAAAATCCTTATAAAACCTATGGAAAATCAATGATTTTGACCTCTTCGGGCCCTCCTGGAGGACCTCTTGGAGGCCTCTTGGGCCGTCTGGGAAGCCTCTGGGGGGCCTCTTGGGCCGTCTTGGACTCTCTTGGGCCGTCTTGGAGACCGTCTTGGACCATCTTGGGCGGACTTGGAGGCCATCTTGGGCCATCTTCGCGATTTTTTGAGGACTTCCCGAGCGAAACGGCCGTTTCAGGGAGGATTTGTCGTGGAGTTTGCGCTCCCGGGCAATCCTTCTGGGACCCCGGCGGGACGGGCCGAAACCCATTGGGAGAGTTCTTTTGGAAAATAACCCAAAACCAAAACCAAAAGGGCCCAGCACGCCAGGCCCCCCTGCGATGAATCGACAGGGGGCGGCGGATCGAAGACGCCTGCGGCGAATCACCGCCGCCCCCTGCCTTTTTGGAAACGCCTATGTGGCCGAACGTTGTGGCCAGAGACCTGCCAAGCTATCGGACCATGTGTTCCCCGAATCGGTTTGGAAAGTGTTCGGGGAACACGGTGGGGGAGGAGGAAGGAGAGGAGAGGGAGGAAGAAGGAGAAGGGAGGATGAGGCCTCTTTGGAGCCTCTCGGGCTACTCTAGGGTAATATTGGGCCATCTTTGCGGTCTTGGAGGCATCTTGGGACTGTCTTGAAAGCCATTTTGGGGCTATACTGGGGCTTCTTGGGGCCACCTTGGGAGGCCTCCTTGGCCTTCTTGTGCGATGGCGCTGAAATTTATCATTTGCACAAACTTGGTGGGACAACGGACTGCATTGTTTACTCGGTGGCCAGAAAATAGCATGAGGAAATAATCGGAGCCAGTCGATGGAGGCAGTGTTGGGTGCATATTGGGCGTTGTTGGAGGCGGAGCTTGACGAAGCCATCGGACCATGTATTCCCCGAGTCTCGCCTCGACACCTTCGGGGAACACTTGGGGGGAAAAGAGACGGAGAAGGAGAGGGGGGAAACAGCAGGAGGGAACAGGAAATTGTTGAAAGCTTCTTGGGGCACTTTTGGGCTCTGGGTGCTTTGTTGGAACTTCCTGTGGACCTTTTGAATGCTTCTCGGGAGGCCTCCTTGGCCTTCTTGGGGACCTCTGGGGACTCTTTGAGGGAGTCTTTGGTTGTCTTAGAGCGTTCCTGGCCCATCCGACGCCGTCCGAGACCGTCTTTGAGGCCTCTCGGAGCCGACTTCAGGCTCATGGGCCGTGTCAGGGCGGTCTTCGAGGCAGTCTAGGCGTCTTGGAGGCCATCTTGAGCCGTCTTGGGGGATTTTTCTGGGATTGAGCTCCTGGAGCTCCCTTTCGGGTGGCCGGCGGGATGGGCCGAAGCGCCAGGGGGAGTTCCTTTGGAAAGAGAACCAAAACCAAAAGCGGAAGGTCCGACGCAATTTTGGCTCAAGGTTCCAAGGGGCCGTCGCTGGCCTCCCAGGGCTCCCCTCGGGCGTCTCTCGTTCTTTGCAGCTGCGCACATCTGCAGACCGCATCATGCGCCTGCGCACGTCTCACAGCGTCGGCGCGCTGCTCCTGGCTACCAGCGGCGCGCAGTTGCTCAAGCTCTTGGCGAGTGATGGGGCGCAGACGACTATTCGGAGAAGCGTGCCGTAGGCTTACGCGGGGCCCGCTGGTGGTGGGGCCCAGGGACGACGGTTCGCGCCCGTGCACGTGTTCCACGGTACCACCGGCGAGAGGCTGCTCAAGCTTGTGGCGAGTGATGGGGCCGCATACGACTATTTCGGAAATGCGGTGGCCGTGAACTCCGAGGGGGCCGCGTGGTGGTGGGGGCCTATCGTGACGAAGACCAGGGCAGCTATTCTGGCTCCGTGCACGTGTTCGACGGTACCACCGGCGAGAGGCTGCTCAAGCTTGTGGCGAGTGGTGGGGCCGAAGATGACCATTTCGGAGTGGCGGTGGCCGTGAGCTCCGACGGGGCCCGCGTGGTGGTGGGGGCATACTATGACGACGACCAGGGCAGCAAATCTGGCTCCGAGCACGTGTTCGACGGTACCACCGGCGAGAGGCTGCTCAAGCTTTTTTTTTTTTTTTTTTTTATCTTTGTTTGTTGTTTATTTTTTTTTTTTTTTTTTCTTCTTTTTTCCTTTCTTTAGTTTTTTTGTGGCGAGTGATGGGGCCGCATACGACTATTTCGGAAATGCGGTGGCCGTGAACTCCGAGGGGGCCGCGTGGTGGTGGGGGCCTATCGTGACGAAGACCAGGGCAGCTATTCTGGCTCCGTGCACGTGTTCGACGGTACCACCGGCGAGAGGCTGCTCAAGCTTGTGGCGAGTGGTGGGGCCGAAGATGACCATTTCGGAGTGGCGGTGGCCGTGAGCTCCGACGGGGCCCGCGTGGTGGTGGGGGCATACTATGACGACGACCAGGGCAGCAAATCTGGCTCCGAGCACGTGTTCGACGGTACCACCGGCGAGAGGCTGCTCAAGCTTGTGGCGAGTGATGGGGCCGAATACGACAACTTCGGAATGGCGGTGGCGGTGAGCTCCGACGGGGCCCGCGTGGTGGTGGGGGCCCAGATGGACGACGACCAGGGCGACGATTCTGGCTCCGTGCACGTCTTCGACGGTACCACCGGCGAGAGGCTGCTCAAGCTTGTGGCGAGTGATGGGGCCGCATACGACTATTTCGGAATGGCGGTGGCCGTGATCTCCGACGGGGCCCGCGTGGTGGTGGGGGCCTACAATGACGACGACCAGGGCGGCGAATCTGGCTCCGTGTACGTGTTCGACACCATCGTCACCACCAGGACGGCCACGAGTTCCGCGACGTCAAGCATTTCTACCACCAAGACAACCACCGAGACAACCACCGAGACCATCAAGACTTCCGCGACGACCACCAAGACGGCCACGACGACCATTGATACGGGCACGAGTTCGGCCATATCAAACACCACAGCCACCACCGAGCCAGGGGAAGTAATTCAAATTGCAGTCTTGATCTTGGCTGGTGCCTGGATCTTGTTCTTGGGCTGCGGTGTCGCGCTGGGCTGCCTGGTGAGGCGCGGGCTTGTAAGGGGCCCAACACCCTAGCGCGGCATTCGCAAAGCCAGGCACTCCTCTGATGAATCAATCGGGGGCGGCGGAAAACGCCTATGTGGACTCAATTTTCCATTGTGCGCCAGCCATGCAATCATGATCATCATCATCATCATCATCACCCATCATCATCATCATCATCATCATCATCATCATCATCATCATCATCATCATCATCATCATCATCATCATCATCATCATCATCATCATCAGCGAAACGCGTCGGTGATTCCGTGCCATGCTCGTGGCCAAGAATCGGGAGTGATCAGAGGGCCCGATGGGCAACCTCACCTCTGAGCCAGAGGGCGTCGGTGATCATGCGCCATGCTGGTCAAGAAGCGGGAATGATCAGAGAGCCCGATGGGCAACCTCACCTCCGAGCCAAATCGCATCGGTAATCGTGCATCATGCTCGTGGTCATGAACATTGAGTGATCAGAGGACCCGATGGGCGACCTCACCTCTGAGCTAGACTGCGCGGGCGATCCTGCGCCATGCTCGTAAGGGACATGCAAGGAGGGACACGAGTCACAATGCGAGCGCTGCCACTGGAGCCACAAAACGTGTGAGGGGTGTGCCAAAGTGGACCCGAGTACGCATGCGGGCCCTGCCACTGGGGCGTTCGGTGGAGCTCCCTCTGGGGCCACGAAACGTGTGAGGGGTGTGCCAAAGTGGACCCGAGTACGCATGCGGGCCCTGCCACTGGGCCTTCGGTGGAGCTCCCTCTGGGGCCACGAAGCGTGTGAGGGGTGTGCCAACGTATACCCGAATACGCATGCGGGCCCTGCCACTGGGGCCTTCGGTGGAGCTCCCTATGGGGCCACTACACATGTGAAGGGTGTGCCAAGGTGGACCCGAGTACGCATGCGGGCCCTGGCACTGAGAGTTTCGGTGGGGCTCCCTATGGGGCCACGAAGCGTGTGAGGGGTGTGCCAAACTTGACCCGAGTACGCATGCGGGCCCTGCCACTGGATCTTTGGTGGAGCTCCCTAAGGGGCCACGAAACGTGTGAGGGGTGTGCCAAACTTGACCCGAGTACGCATGCGGGCCCTGCCACTAGGGCCTTCAGTGGAGCTCCGTATGGGGCCACGAAACGTGTGAGGGGTGTGCCAAAGTATACCCGAATACGCATGCGGGCCCTGCCATTGGGGCCTTTCGGTGGAGCTCCCTATGGGGCCACTACACGTGCCTTGGGGGCCACTACACATGTGAAAGGTGAGCCCAGGTGGACCCGAGTACGCATGCTGGGCCCTGGCACTGAGAGTTTCGGGAGTTTCGGGGGGGCTCCCTATGGGGCCACGAAACGTGTGAGGGGTGTGCCAAAGTATACCCGAATACGCATGCGGGCCCTGCCATTGGGGCCTTTCGGTGGAGCTCCCTATGGGGCCACTACACATGTGAAGGGTGTGCCAAGGTGGACCCGAGTACGCAGGCGGGCCCTGGCACTGAGAGTTTCGGTGGGGCTCCGTATGGGGCCACGAAGCGTGTGAGGGGTGTGCCAAGGTGGACCCGAGTACGCATGCGGGCCCTGCCACTGGGACCTTCGGTGGAGCTCCCTATGGGGCCACGAAGCGTGTGAGGGGTGTGCCAAACTGGGCCCGAGTACGCACGCGGGCCCTGCCACTGAGGCCTTCGGTGGAGCTCCCTATGGGGCCACGAAGCGTGTGAGGGGTGTGCCAAAGTTGACCCGGATACGCATGCGGGCCCTGCCACTGGGACCTTCGGTGGAACTCCCTATGGGGCCTCGAAACGTGTGAAGGGAGTGCCAAAGTGGACCCGAGTATGCACGCGGGCCCTGCCACTGGGGCCTTCGGTGGAGCTCCCTATGGGGCCACGAAGCGTGCGAGGGGTGTGCCAAAGTGGGCCCGAAAACGCATGCGGGCCCTGCCACTGGGGCCTTCGGTGGAGCTCCCTATGGGGCCACGAAGCGTGTGAGGGGTGTGCCAAACTGGGCCCGAGTACGCACGCGGGCCCTGCCACTGAGGCCTTCGGTGGAGCTCCCTATGGGGCCACGAAGCGTGTGAGGGGTGTGCCAAAGTTGACCCGGATACGCATGCGGGCCCTGCCATTGGGACCTTCGGTGGAGCTCCCTATGGGGCCTCGAAGCGTGTGAAGGGAGTGCCAAAGTGGACCCGAGTACGCACGCGGGCCCTGCCACTGGGGCCTTCGGTGGAGCTCCCTATGGGGCCACGAAACGTGCGAGGGGTGTGCCAAAGTGGGCCCGAAAACGCATGCGGCCCCTGCCACTGGGGCCTTCGGTGGAGCTCCCTATGGGGCCACGAAATGTGTGAGGGGTGTGCCAAACTGGACCCGGATACACATGCGGGCCCTGCCACTGAAGCTTTCGGTGGAGCTCCCTATGGGGCCACGAAGCGTGTGAGGGGTGCGTCGAGACGGTAACGAGAATCATGATGGTGGTGGCGATTGTGATGGTGATGGCGATGATGGTGGTGGTGATGGTGGTGGGGATGATGATGGTGATGATGATGGTCATGGTGATGGGGAGAAGGGAGAAGAGGATGAGGAGGACGTGGAAAGAAGGGGGAGGAGGAGTGGAGCGCGGCGCTGCGAATTCAAAACGAGGACCCAACTCACAGGAATATTGGGAAAAAGGAGGGGGAGGAGGAGGAGGAGGAGAAGGAGGAGGAGGAGGAGGAGGAGGAGGAGGAGGAGGAGGAGGAAGAGGAAGAGGAGGAGGAGGTGGAGGAGGAGGAGGAGGAGGAGGAGGAGGAGGAGGAGGCCTCTTGGGCGCCTTTTGGGGCACTCTTGGGGCTTCCTGGGGGGCTTGCTAGGGGCCTCTTGGAGGCCTCTTCGGGGCCTCCTTGGGCCTGCTGGGAGCCTTTGGTCTTGGGGGTCTCTTTGGCAGCCTTAGGGCGTTCCTGGCTTGTCTGACGCCGTCGGAAGCCGTCACGGGGGCCTGTCTGGGTCATCTTGGGGCCCTCTTGAAGCATTTCAGGGCTGGCTTCGAGGCCACTTTGGGCGCCTTGGACGCCTCTTGGGTCGTCTTGGGGCCCTTTTGGGGCCGTCTTCGGAGTTTTTTGGGCCGTCGTGGGGCCATCTTGGAGGCCTCGTGGGCGATATTGGGGCGATCTTGGGGGCCTCTTGGGCCATCTTGAGCCGTCGGAATGCCGAGAAGAAGCAAAATGCCGCAATCTGTCAAAACCCTTTGAACATTTTCCTGGCGATGGACCCAACCACATGCAGTTGCGAGTACCGCGAAGCAGGTTGAGCGAATGAGAGGGAACTCCCTATGGGGCCACGAAGCGTGTGCGAGGTGTGCCGAAATGGGCGCGGTGCCGCCATGCGAACGCAGCCACTGGGGCCTTCGGTGGAGCTCCTTATGGGGCCACGAAACGTGTGAGGGGTGTGCCGAAATGGGCGCGGTGCCGCCATGCGGACGCTGCCACTGGGGCCCTCGGTGGAGCTCCCTATGGGGCCACGAAGCGTGTGAGGGGTGTGCCGAAATAGGCGCGGTGCCGCCATGCGAACGCAGCCACTGGGGCCCTCGGTGGAGCTCCTTATGGGGCCACGAAGCGTGTGAGGGGTGTGCCGAAATGGGCGCGGTGCCGCCATGCGAACACAGCCATTGGAGCCCTCGGCGGAGCTCCCTATGAGGCCACGAAGCGTGTGAGGGGTGTCCCGAAATTGGTGCGGTGCCGCAATGCGAGCGCAGCCACTGGGGCCCTCGGTGGAGCTCCCTATGGGGCCACGAGCCGGGTGAGCCGAAATGGGCGCGTTGCCGCCATGCGAACGCAGCCATTGGAGCCCTCGGTGGGGCTCTCTATGGGGCCACGAAGCGTGTGAGGGGTGTGCCGAAATGGGCGCGGTGCCGCCATGCGAACGCAGCCACGGAGCTCCCTATGGGGCCACGAAGCGTGTGAGGGGTGTGCCGAAATGGGTGCGGTGCCGCCATGCGAACGCAGCCAGTGGGGCCTTCGGTGGAGCTCCCTATGGGGCCACGAAACGTGTGAGGGGTGTGCCGACATGTGTGCGGTGCCGCCATGCGAACGCAGCCACGAGGGCCCTCGGTGGAGCTCCCGATGGGACCACGAACGTGTGAGGGGTGTGCCGAAATGGGTGCGGTGCCGCCATGCGAACGCAGCCACTGGAACCCTCGGCGGGCTCCCATGGGGCCACGAAACGTGTGAGGGGTGTGCCGAAATGGGCGCGGTGCCGCCATGCGAACGCAGCCAGTGGGGCCTTCGGTAAAGCTCCCTATGGGGCCACCAAGCGTGTGAGGGGTGTGCCGAAATGAGTGCGGTGCCGCCATGCGAACGCAGCCACTGGGGCCTTCGGTGGAGCTCCCTAGGGGGCCACGAAGCGTGTGAGGGGTGTGCCGAAATGGGTGCGGTGTCGCCATGCGAACGCAGCCACTGGGGCCCTCGGTGGAGCTCCCTACGGTGCCACCAAACGTGTGAGGGGTGTGCCGAAATGGGCGCGGTGCCGCCATGCGAACGCAGCCAGTGGGGCCTTCGGTAAAGCTCCCTATGGGGCCACCAAGCGTGTGAGGGGTGTGCCGAAATGAGTGCGGTGCCGCCATGCGAACGCAGCCACTGGGGCCTTCGGTGGAGCTCCCTAGGGGGCCACGAAGCGTGTGAGGGGTGTGCCGAAATGGGTGCGGTGTCGCCATGCGAACGCAGCCACTGGGGCCCTCGGTGGAGCTCCTTATGGGACCACGAAACGTGCGAGGGGCGTGCCGAAATGAAGGGGGAGGGGGGAGGAGGCGGAGGAGGAGGAAGGAAGGAGAGGAGAGGAGAGGAGAGGAGAGGACACGCGGGGCACCGTCTCTTCAAAACGAAGACCCAACACCACAGGATGGTTGGGAGAAACAATGATTTTGGTTTCTTCGGGCCCTCCTGGACGACCTCTTGGAGGCGTCTTGGGCCGTCTTGGGCGCCTCTTGGGAGCCTCTTGGGCCGTCTTAGGCCGTCTTCGATGCATCTTGGGCCGTCTTGGAGGCATCTTGGGGCAATCTCAGCCGTCTTGGAGGCCACC